GTTCTCATTTATCATTCACCATTTCGCCGTCTCTCATTCTTGACCAACGATAAATATATAATATATATACTTTTTTCAATATTTTTCTTTTGTTTCTTTCTGACGTGTCTGTATCGCTTCGCTTACAAAAATCAGGTAAGTAAAGCTAAAAACAGTTTCTATCTTTCTTTCGGTTTACTGACAAAAAAGCTCACGTAGACATTGTCGCTCATTTTCTTTCTCTCTAATCTCGTTTTCTCCCTACCTTGCGCCCATACACACACACTCTTCCTCACTTTCTCTCTTTCTCTCTCTCTCTCTCTCTCTCTCTCTCTCTCACGCTCTCGCCCTCTTTCTCTCTCTCTTTCTATCTTCCTTTCTAGCTTAAGAAATGATATTTATTGGTACCCAAAACCCCGTTTAATGAAATCCTTCAAATAAAATACTCTAGTTAACAATAAATTATTAAATATCTATTCACAAATATATGTATAGGCTAATTATCGTTTGTCTCTCTTCCTTTTTTTTATTACTATCCTCATCAACGTTCAACCTATTTCTCAACCCCTCGTCACCGCCATCACCATTGATTATCGTCTTCGATACTACTTTTGTCACACAGACAACGGCCTAAGGTTCGCTGTTTACACATGTGTAAGTATAGATCGTCGGTAAAAGAAAAAAAAAAGAAAGAAAAATCAATCATTTGTTCGTAAAGAAAGAGAGGGATATGAAGATTCCCGGTCGTCCAGTCTACCGGAGCAAGGTGTTCCCCGATGCGAACTGGAGGACGCGGTCTTAAGAGTTGCCGATCTGTTCGTTGACACTGATTCATCGAAGTGATTGATTTTCCACCAGTACCGTATCGCGTTCATTCGTATATACACTATTTTCGCTGGTAATATACAGAATTTCCGTGAACAGCAATTTGCGTGTAACAGAATTTCGTCGCCAATGGTCGAATATTACTTGTTCTACGATTACAGAGACATTTCGATAAATAAAACGATGAACAATTACAGAGACGCAGGATTCCCTAATAAAATGGTTTACATTGTACACTGTGTTTCGCATAACATTCACAATTAATTTTTAAAAACATCGTAAATTATTCACGTTTAAAATAATTTCTAAACCTTCACCGAACACAAATCCTATTAAAATTTGAAAAGAACAACAACGCTTTTTAAAATCGATTAAAAAGAGTTAAAGAATAATTTCTCGCGAATCGCTCCGAACGCGTCCATATAACAGTGAACGTCTATGAATGAACGACAGTTGTAACTGTGTAGAAATAAACGAATCGCTCGGAAGTACGACAACGATAAAAGAATTCCCCGTTGAAAACCATATATCCGATTGTTTTGTTATATCTACTACGACACGGAGTTTCTCTGTTTCGTTTTATTTCCAAGCGCTTCGTTCTCCAGTCGAACACAAAAAATGCACGCAAACTGCATGTACGCCTGTGTAATATGTAGTATACGTATATGTGTACGGTGTCTTGCTTCTGTTCCCGAGACGAACGCTCAAAAGAATGAGTTTTCTTTTTTTTTTCTTTTTTGAGGGGTCACTGCGAAGTCAAGGAACGAAAGGCAAGAGCCGACGTGGATTATGTGGTGATATATTAAGTAAGTTTCTGGCCGTCTTAATTATCGACGAGTGCGATGCTCATTGATTGTTTGAAAATTGGACACGGGAAATTCGAAAAACCGGTCGTCGGCGTAACGGACGCCATTTCTGTTGGTATTCCCTACCTCGGAGTCACGTCGAATTGCGAGAAACGTTCGCTAAATATACATTATCTCTCTACGATCGATTATTCAACAGTCTATATGTTTATTTACTCTTTATACACGAACAAGCGGTACCGTTCAAACGTGAAGAATTATCTGATATAACCTCAGGGACGAAAACAAGATAACATATAGTCTATAGCCTCGTTCCGCCCACTAGAAATATATTACTTTCTGAATGATTGATGATGTGTCTCGTTCAGTATATGTTCCGAAACGTTTGACCGGTAGCGCATAATGAGTCCTGTTGAACTTGAGGAAAGCGTGGCTCTGGAAGGGGAGGTACGCGTTGCACTCCACAAGATGGCGGACAGTGTACTAAAAGTTTGATATTTTTTTACGAATTCCATAAACAGATTTTATAAAACGTCTATCGCCACTGTAGATAGTGCTTTCAGCCTTTTCTTTTCCAGAAACCACGTGCCTTGTCTCGCCAATTTGCAATTCTATGAATAATACAAGAATGTTTATACAACGTTCGAAACTATTGAGCAGTTTGCCGAGACTAATATACCTCCTGTATTTTCTGTTCTTTTTCTATTTTTAGAAGTCGTTTCCCGCAATCGATTCGCAGACTCGCGGCTGCAGGCGAAAAACGCATATCCGGCACAAAGGAGTCGCTATTCGCTCGAATGTACAGTGTTTCACTCGCACACGCGGAACGAAAAAAAAAAAAAAACAGAGGACACACGCTCGCGCACGCAAACACACGCCTTCCCCATATGCGTTCGTTGCAAAAGCCTATACAATTACACCAGTACCGCTATAACTCTCTGTTCCTACGCCTCCGAAACACCTCCCGTATAGAATATGACTTTCTTTTTTTCCACTTTTTGTTTTCCGTCTGAAATCTTTATATAATATGTACACGCTAGTTTTTAATCGGCTGCTATGTCGTTTACTAACTACGACGCGAATTCACTCGCGCTGCCTTTTGCTTTCCCCCCTCGTCAGCACGCTCGTGAACGCGAGCGGCCCAGCGACCCTCGACTGACAAACAGAAGTAAAATTCGCATTCACACTCACGCAACGGGACACTTCTGATGAGAGGGCTGCACGCCGACCACCTCCCCCTCCTCCCTCCCCCGTAACAATAGCGGACAGAACGGGGCGCTCGATGGTCGACAGCCTTCTGACCGGGCGCTGTAGCCAGAACGGAATCGTTTTTACGCTCAAAGTCAATTTCCCCACCAGTTGTCGCTGATGTCACGTGTTTGAACCCTTACGATTAATTGTTCAGATAAGTGGACAGAATTTTATTTGAATACCAAGGGACGAATTCATTTGACGAATTGGCTTGAATGAGTTTTAATGGCGTAGACAGTTTGCACGTTTAATCAGCACCCGAAATATACAGGGTACTTCTAAAATATGGATTAGTCTGTGTATTATATAAGTATTAGTCCGTGAATCCTCTATCTTCAAATTGCAGATGTTCGAAGGTCTATGATAGATGGATTGTTTGAGCAAGAATTGACACTTTGTACTGTAAGCTCATAGATCGTTGGATTTGTGTGAAAATTCTATTAGTATGTATTTCGAATTGCGTGATCTTATAAAATAGTTTTATTAATCAACGATGGGCGTTTGATGAGTTTGTGGTTGGAGGTGCCAAACGAGATAAAAATTAAATAGAGGATTTATGGACTCATGTCTGCCGAAAATATTCTTTTCTCTAGTCTAAGTAGAATATACTTCTAAATTTGATGTCTTATTTTAGAACCATCCTGTATGTGCGTCGTGAACCGTAAGTGGGCTTAAGGGAAACGTCTTTGATAATAGTTTTACGACAAAATTGCAGAATAATTAAATATTGCGGTGGGGATAGACTGCTCTAGTGACCCTGAACGGTTGATTCTGCTCTGTTTAGGATACAGGAAGGCTATCGAACGCAAGGATTGATGCAACGGTATTCTCGAATCGGTTTCTTGGGAGAGAAACCCTCTGTTCAACTTTCGTTGTCCTTATGCATACTCTTCAAACATGAGAATTGATTCGATTGTACTGTGTCGATTGATTGTAGTTACGAGTTTGACAAAGTTTCCGAAATCTCCTTTGTTCACAGAATCACATTTAAGAATACGAGCCCCCCATTGCAAACTGTATTTTCAAGTTTCCCCGAAGTTTTACTAGCCGCACAGAAGCACGCAGGATTTGTGGTTCGCTCGAAAACTCAAAGGGGATAGAAAGAAAAGACATAAGGAAGTTCCTGGTTCCGTTCGAATTTCCACGCATTTATGACAAGTGTTTCATGTTTCTGTAAACTTTGCAAGTGCATTCTTCTGGGAATTCTCAGATACTGTTATAGCTCGGTGTAAACTTTTTTCAGGGTAGAGAAAAAACTTCGATCATAACGGATGTCGTATTAAATAAAATAAGAACGCCAATCAAATGTTTTTGTTTACACGATTAGGATTAATCAATTTAATCGTCTAAGTTTAAATTTAATCTTCAACTGAGAAAAAAATTGTTGAAATTTATAATCTCACGTCCACCACACGTCCTTCGTTCTACTTTGTTCAGGCTAGTTCTAATTGACGATCAAATTCTATAGTAACTATTAAAATGAGTTATCAAGTGTTTTCAAAGATATTAAAAACCGTAAATGTAATCGACGAAGTGAAATAGTATTAACGGAAGAAAATATCGTTGAAATGAGTTAAAAACAAGTCAATCACAATAAAAATCTTACGCAAGAATGACGACACCGAAGAACAGAAAGTTACCCTCCTTGTACATTAACATATTTCGAACCACTAAACAAGTCGACTCTAACGAACAATTCCACGACCGTTATCTATTTTTTTCCTTTGCACGCTAAGTATAACAAGGAATCGTCGCTTTGAACGGGCGCGATCGATCCCAAAGAATTTTCCCATTGGCAGTTTTTCGCCACCGAGATCGCCGAGTATTGGCTTTATTTAAAAGTAGAAAATTGTTAGAAAAAATGCCGCGAACAGGTTCTCTCGTTCTCGGTGGAGTGTGAAAAAGTTGTTGGATAATCGACAGTGGCCGATCGATTCCCGTGATTTCTCCATCGATCGATCGTTTTTCGTGAGAACACATGGTTTCTTCTCTGTCGAATCTCTTATACGTTTTCTGTTCACGGTGTTCGTTATAAAATTCGAGTATAATGTAACACGCATTGCGTAAATCTCAACAAACCGATTACCATTTTAGTTGTAAATACACGTAAAAAACCCTTTTTCCTCCGAATCTCGGTGTGCCAACGTTTCAAGCTCGAACGGAAGGAAGAGGAAACAGAGTAACACCGTTCGTAATCCGGCGAGCCGGTAATCACCGGTAAATCTGACTGAACGTTTGTAATTCCATTTGACTGGGTCCAGGTGGGTCGAACCGTATGCTGTCGCAGGCGAAAAAAGAAAATGCATCGAGAAAATGCTTCTGGTGTATCTCTCTACACGAAGTTCTCCCCTCCCCGCCCCCGTATCCTAGCTTTTTTCTTCTCTACTATTATGTATAATCTCACATAGTCACGCGGTCATGTATGTTGTTTTACTCTCGCTATTTACAAACGTACGTGTGCAATGTGTGTATGTGTGTATGTCTGTGTGTTTTGTTTAAATAACGTTCGTTATCATCTACCCCGGCCATTATTCACCACACGATTTACCTAAAATAATTGTTTTAACCGTATCAACCGACGTCGACACGTGGGTTCCTGTTCGACGAGCCGAGACGAAGGTCCTTCCCACATGTCGTCGTTCCGTTCACACCACTCCCACCCCAGCCTTCTTTCATTTCGGTATTTCACTGTTCCTTAATCTCTCTTTGTGAAACGATACGGATATATACTTTTTTTATTCTCGAATGTCCACTTTACCCTGCCGTATATGTGTGCACTGCCGAATTCTTATTTCCCCGTTTTTTTTTTTTTTTTTTTAATAATAATCTTTCCTTTCCTTTGTTCCTCTTCTGGAGTAAGTTTCTATTTTTTGGTTATTCCTGTTTCCGTTCCGAAGCCGGATATACATAGCTTTCGCTTGCGTCCGACGGAGGATTTCCTCGTTGTTGTTGTTGTTGTTATTGTTGTTGATCGTTACGACAGTCTTGTTGCGTCGTGGGCGTGTCGCCTCCTCGAACGGCGAGGCCTCCTCTCGAATTATAAAGTGGGGGATGGCCGGTACAAGGGATTGCCCCTGATGGGAAGCACGTGCGCCTCGGAGTTGAACACCCAGTCGTCCAGGTTTATGAGATCGTCGTCGCTGAACAGCAGGTAGAGGTACTGGAAAATATCGAAAGTAGTCGAGTCAGTCACGGATCTACTGCGTGGCATTAACACGTTGACTGCCACGGTAGAAAAGATTGTACGTAGGCAGACACGCTTTATTTCGTTTTTGATAATAGAGAGACTGTTGGTCTTATTTTAAATTTATACATTGATATTAATTTTATCCACAAATTTTGTAACTGCTCGATTACTATTACAGTGATTCACACATTCGTTCACAGACTTCTGTAATAACAATTAGGTGTTAAAATTGTTATGCAATTTCTATTTAGATATTCTCCTTATCATTACTTTTATTATCCTTTTGCGATCACTTTTTCTTAATTTTGAAATAAAATTCGGATTTCGGTAAATAATTCGGTCAAATAGAAGCGACAGCTTTTCGTTAACAAATTTGTGAGTCACTGTACATTAGTTGCCCGATTACTTATTAAATAATTGTAAATTTGGTTCTAAACATTATCAATCTTATTATGACCTCGAAACACGATTATTTATTTCTGCATATTCTGTGGAGATGAAGGAGAGATCACTGATAAGTGGAGGAATCTTTCATATCCGAGACGTGTGCTCTCCTGCAGTAGTATGAGGCAGTTTTCATCAGACGACATCATATCGTCAATTACTCGAATATAATAGTTTTTTAATTGAAACATTGAAGTTGAACATTATTTAATATTCTTTTCTACATATTTTCACCCAGAAAGTAAATGATTTTGTTAATACGAAATAAAAACATCGAACGTTCGAAGAAGGATTTTAACAATAAATTCCGGCTAAACGTTGACAGTAAGGTCTTTTCAATCTTACCTTCAGTGTTTCCGCGAAGAAGTAGCTCTGTTGAACATCGTCCTGCGGTGGATCAATCATGTAAACATTGTGAAGTCCGGTGAAGCCCCCCGGAACACGGCAGTACTTCTCCAACGCCTGGACCGCTTCCCAGCCCCACTCACGGTATTTCGGATCCTTTGTTAGCCGCCACATCACGAAATACGATTCGAAGGTCTGAAAGGAAAATATTTTACCTCGGAATTTGGCCCGTCTTTATTCGGCGAGCGACATGGAAAAGCGGACGGATTGAATATTTTACTTTTCATTACCCGCCAAGAAAACATCGCGGGAACATTACTTTACAACGCGTTTGATAATGTTTACTGTTTTTTCTTCATCTTTCTTTGGGTATGATTGACAATTAGGAGATTAACTGGGCAGTATTTTAAATTTCGATGTTCACAGAAGCATATTAAGTTTTTTAACGATTTGATGTTATTGTTGTTTTCTGCTCAGATAAGACACTTAAACAACACGTCCTCTATACTCGTGAATATCTTCCGTATATACTTCAATACGAGATAAAAATATACAAAAAATGACTCTGTTCTAATTATAATCGCAATTATAATTATAACTGATCGTCTATTGGCTCGACTCCCGCGGAATTTTTTCAATCTGTGTGTGTGTGTGTGTGGAGGGCACTTACTTCCGGTCGAAGGATATAATATTTCTCGCCATTCTTTAAACTCTTCGCCTCGTTACCCTCGATGAAATGGAAAGCTTCTGGCCCGAGCTTCGTGAAGCTTCGATCGTACGATTCGTGGCATGTGTTGGTCAGACCGGCGGCCACCGTCATGTATCTTTCAGACAATTCGTTTTCCAGAGTTTTGGCGCCCAACGCGAACATGCCACCTGGAACGAAACAGATATTCTTTCGTGGCACGGAAACGGACACCGTAGACGAGCGTGACGGACAGTGATTTATTTCTGATCGATGGATCACCGTAGAATTATCTGGAACCTGGTGGGTATCCTCTTAGAAACGAGAATCACGTAAGAATGACTAGACCGAAATCCTTGAAATAGAATTTAATGGTTCTGGAATTTTAATTATGAGATTTCATTTTTATTTCAATTTGATATTTCAGTTGCAGTATGTATACGTTAATAATTTAGTAATTAATTCAATTATATTAAGCAGTGTGAAATACGATATCGAGTGGATCGCGATACAGATCCCTGAGGGATTCGCGTGCAATTTGTGTACTATTCTGAGTACGGTATTACACAATATTCAAAATATTCATTTAATCTCTACAAATATGAAAAGATAAATATAGGATATGTCTTGTTTATCTGATTTAATAATAAAATGTAATCGTTTCGATATGAATATTTTAGGGATTTGGAATACTGACACTTACGTAAGCTGATGATTTTGGGCAATACTTTGTGCAACAGGTAGTAATGTAGTAAATCAGAGGAATGAAAACACAACGGGAACACAAGTTTATATCTTACGACTGGACTACGGATTTTTATGCAAATATCGAGTTTACAAGAACTGGAATCAAACAGAAAATTGTTTACTGTGTTAAAGCTTCTATCACGTTTGAAATGAAATAAAAATTGCATTAAATGTAACTAAACTGTGTACTACATTGAATTTTAAAGAATCGAACATGCTATAAATGCATAAAATCTACTGTCTACTTATGGCTATTAAACGGTTCTCTAGATTAATCTTCGTTCACATCAAGATATTATCACGTCAATTTGAGAAAACTGATTTCTTCACAGAATGAGCAGCAATTATTTAAAAAAATCGTGTTTACACTCACCGGCGAAACATGCCAGATGACCCATTTTATGATCCAGCCTGTCGTATTTCAGATCGGACACGTACAGCAGCTTCCCGGGCGATGTCTTGATCATGTGCTGATCTATCGCAGCGATCGCCTCGTCGTACATTTGTCGGGCCTCGACGTCCTCCTTGCCGGATTGAATCCACGCTTTTAGCAAGTACTCGTAGAAGCTGTCACCTAGCCCACCCAGCGACATGTGATCTGTATTCCACATAAAATAGATTATTTAATTAATTTTATGGTTGATTTGTAAAAAGCTAATAAAATGCTGTTAACACGTGGATAATGATCCTTCAGGTTCTGTCTATTTAAAAATTTCCTATCTATTCAGACAGAAAACAAAGAAAAATAATGGGACAATCCCAGCTAGACTAGAAGTTAACTTTAAAAAAAAAATGATATTTTACATGTTTCTCGTATCAAATTTTTCACTCTTTCATGCGAAATCTGTCACATATTGGATTCAATGCAAAGTTCACAATTTCTACATATCGAGACTTGTTTTAAGTCCATTCAGTAGTTCGAAGGTAGCGATTTGGAATTCTTGGTTCCAAAGTTACAAGGTTTCTGCACCTTACATTTGCACTCCTCTAAAGTTTCACAAAATGTGACTTAATACACTTTGGGGTCCGCATATTTATCCTCAGTTATGATTCTAATAGCAATTTCTTCGTGCACGGGGCTCTTATTTCTGGTTCAGTGGCGAGTCGTGACCATCAGCGGAACAGGAAAACGAAAGTACTCGAGGTTTCCCACAACTGAGGGGGAAGGCAGAGTCGCGGGTAGCAAAACTGCTCGAGCTCTCTCCTCTTTGTCTCGGTGGGCTCTCAGACGAGTTGTCGGAGTAGCCCTCTTCTTGGCATAAAAACCTTCGCCGGCACATCCACGGGAAACCGTACGGACGATCCTCTCTCTTTTCCACTTCTGAAGACCTGTGGAGCTTCACCAGCCGCGCTCGACCATTTCGCTGCTCGCTGTCATTAACGAAGCAACTTTCAATCGTTGGCAGCCGCGCTCTTGTCCCCCACCGAGATCCACGAAGACGGATGACTTTTTCTCTGTCCTTTCTACGGTTCTACGTTATTAACCACGAGTCCCATTTACCGCGAGAAGCACCAGTCCGACCAATTTAATTGGAATTAAGTGATGCTGGAAAGATCGCAGATTTTTTATGGTTGCAGTTTATACGACCGAAGGGATCGAATTGGTGAATGAAATTGTAGGATTTTTAACGGGCACTTGAACGAGCTTTGATTTTACTGTATGAAATGTTGTCTGATAGTATATTTGAGAAATTATAATTTTAGTGGAGTTTATTGAAGCCTGCATTTTAGTTTTGATCTTTGACGTGAAACATGATTCTATCGCTGATTCGCAAATCAGTCTGGAAACCTGTGAAGTTTAATCAGTATTTGCAATCTGGTAATTTGTAATTAAACAAATAAATATCAGGTATGTTTCAGAGTACGTTATAATAACAATTGAAACTCGTACCTTGATTACAACCCCCAGACAACGATTTTTCTTAGTATAATATGTTTAATGCAAGAAATAGTCATGTATCGTAATATTGATGTAAACTTAAATTCCGTTATTGGTTAATTAATTATACGTACTAATATGTATTTATTAATTAAAGAATAAAACAAAGGTAAATTGTATCATTTTAATTGCTTCAGAAAGATAGTGTAACATCCTCTGGTCATTATATGTGCTATACAACTTCGAGGGATGGTTTCACCCTTGAAAGTAGCATCTCAGACGATAAAAAAAAATACGTATCCCTTATTTTTCACTGCTTAACAGACATACGAAGTTTCATCAAAATCGGATGGGCACACTTCCGTGCCTTCCCTTGTAAGTGGATCGATTTAAATGGAACACCTTGTACACATTTCGACCAACGAAACAAGATTACGGTTCACCCTAGCTGCGTTTTCACCTGCACTGGTCATTCACTTACAAACTTCTCGTACTTTCCCTCAGAACCGAACCACGACGACTGGAAGCCTCCCCTTATTTCAGTGCTGAGTACCATAGGAGCCCCTAATGCTCCTGCTATCCCATCGCAATCGTTCTTTCGCGCCATTTTGTAGAGACAAAGAAGCACAGATTTTTGTCTTTCTTACTCCCTGGTATTGACCAATGGTGGTAGGGACTACGATTAGCATCATCAAGTCAATCTTGCCCAACGCAACTTAATTTGCTTCCCAAAATTCGAACTTCGCTGGACACCGTTCGTCCAGGAATCACTCGCAGCGGAGATCGACAATGTTCGGCCTTGTCAAAAGTCGAGGAAGTCCCCGCGATACTTGGACTCCGTCCGATGGGGGCTATAAATTTTCATGGCGAGTCTACAGCGCGCGACTCGACGACCGTCCCCAGTCGAGAAAGAAAAGAAAACGGCAGGCGACAGCCGGCGGAGGATGGACGCTCGAGTCCCAGAAGATGATAAATACTCGCGGGGGTCGTCATACAGGGAAAACGTGGGGAGGGACGACGCCGAGGAACGAAGAAGAGGAGGATTTAGCACCCGAGGGGATGCGCGGCATGATAAATGCGTTATTCGGGATCGCGCGAAGAGATCTCAGCTACAACGTGTCCCCTTGGAAGGCGACCGTGGCACAGAAGGAAGGGGAGGAGGACCGTGAAACGGGAGCACCCCTTCCATTCTGCCGTTCCCGCCGCCGAACCACCACGCGTCGAAACTATTTCAGCGACATAATTGATGGCCGTCAGATTAAAAATCTATTTCGCCTTGAAATTCGCCGGGCTCAGGATGATTTATTAAATGAAATTACAGTACCGATGCACGGGGCGCGTTTACGTCCAACTTCGGTTGTCCCTCTCCGTTGTTCGTTTCGTCGTTTTTTTCGTTCTCATTCCTGCCGCGTCAATGTTTCTCGGTTGTAATGAGGAGCGTTTTCCATTTTATCGTTTCGTTTTCTTTGGGTTATTGCTCGCGGCTCGAATGAATCTGATCGGAAGTGACTGGGATTGGTTGATCTTCTCTCGTTTTGAGGTTAGGTACAGTTATTATTACCGGGATTTCGGATGAAAGTTGTTCAGTGAACACGTTTGACGTTTTTATAAGGATGTATTGGTGAGCAGAGGATAATTAATTTCCGAGGGTTTCTTTTTGCCGGTGTAATTTGATTACGGTAATTGAAATCGGCGCGACAGGCTTCGAGGAATGGACGCTTGCATGGCAGTTCAGGGAATTTATTGTGGTCATTATGTTCGTGGTTCTTTTGGACGAAAAGTGAAGGGATCGGAGACGGAAGGAACCGTAAGCGATACGGTCCTATTTAAAGGAGTTTAAGACGGTTTGAGAATTCTTGAAAATTGAACTTTGGGCGAAAAACAATTTCGACTGTTGGTTCCAGGCACTATACATAGATGCATCTCTGGATTTCAGAACCAGAGTGTATAAAGTCCATTTTTTTAAAGAAATGACATTCTACACGTTCTTTGTATTAAATTTTTCATTCTTTCTGATGGTAAAAATTAGTTCATTTTACGTCGTATAGTTTTCAATATAATAGTGTAATAATGATATAAAGTCCATATCTTGTTCTGAGTCAAAGAATGTAAAGACCACCACATAGGGGACTTAATGTAACATTCTCCATTTCTAGATATCGAGACTTGTCTTAAGTCCATTCAATAATTCGAAGGTAGCAATTGTTCTCGTTGAATTCCTACCAAACGGGTTCAAATATACAAGATTTTTGTACCTTTGATTTGTTTTCCATGAAAGTTTGATAACTGTGATTTAACACTAGAACTACCAAACCCGTCAAAATGACGGATTACAGTTTTACCATTTTACCATTATTAAAATTATAATGGTGCTTTTGACGGAATTTATGTTGGCTATTAATTTACTCCAGATGTTATTTTATAGTATATTATGCTAGATTGTCTTATATATTCTATATATTATTGTATTATACAATTTAATTTAGTATACATTCAATGCTGGTAGTTCTAGTGTTAATACACTCTGGGTCTGCAGTTCAGATATACTATACAAAACTCTCACATTCATTTACAAGCATTTGTAAAGAACTATTAACAAATTTGCATTAGATATATCCTCTTTCGTCAAAACATCGTGGCATACGGAACGAGTAGTATTTAACCATCGTCATAGAGGGATCAAAAGAACGAGTTATACGATAAAAATATGAGGTACGAATCACACTTACGTTGTCCCCATTTTCCAGTCCTCGGGTGAATGTAATTCGGATAAAGTCCCTTCGGTTTCTCCAGATTCTTCAGCACTTTTCTAACGTTCTCGACTCTGCTCTTGAAAACGGTATTACCGGTGATGTCGCTGAGGTACGTGAATTCCAGATGCATCGTGCCGATTTCGGACAAAATGCTGCACCCGCTGCTGGCCCAGCCGTAATTCTTGCTAGCCTGTGAATTCAAACGAAAATTCCGTTCTCGATCAGCTAAAAGCGGAAATGACACCATGACGGAACAGGAGTTCCAAAAACAAGGATCGAATCGAACCGGGCCAATTAAACGAAATAACAGAGACAGCTGATTTCCCGTTTCTATTATACTTACAGACGATTCTCGAGAAACGAAGGGAATTCGCTCACTCGCCCAGTTTACAGTACAAATATTAAACCGCCGTCGTGGTATTACAGGACACGGAATGTGATAATAATGATAAAATTCCACATGTAGGCGGAATTTAATTGAATTTTCTAGGGATTCGAAATCGAAATCTTTGGAGGTTTAATAAAGATCCGAATGATTTGATTAAATATGCTGCGAATGCTTGTGTAAATGTGGATTTTTTATGGGGTATAGAGAAACTGGAGTCAAATAGAAATTTATTTATATTGTTTATTGTTCTAACTAGATTCCGAGTGAAATAAACATCCCTTTTAACGCTTTGACTGCCACAGTGAAAAATGTCGTATGTGGCCAGACGCACTTTATTTCGTTCTTTTAAGGTTTAAATAGTCGAAAATATATGCATTTAGTTAATAGAGGTTTTTAAATTACACTACGATATTAACTTTACCCACAAATTTTGTAACAGTATTTAAATAATGCAGCCTCTTTGCAATGTCTGTGTCAGCCATACTTGGGTGACGTGGCAATCAAAGTGTTAAACTTTATCAGACTCTTAATCATACTGAATCCTAAACAATCGTGTATATTATAAATTTATAAAATCCGCGGGCTAATTACGATGAATGTAGGAAGGTTCATCAAACTTGATTTTAAGAGTTTTATATCATTCCAGAAACCAATTTTAAGGTCTTCTTTTTTTTTAATCGCGTTTTGTCAACCTCATTACAGTTAGAGGGTTACTTAATCAATTAAGTCAATATTCTACAATATTTCTCAAATTTTCAATAACACCAACAAAAAATGCTTCCTTTGGATAGTACCAATAAGAAACCTTCGTTTAAAAGTTAAGAATTCGGATCAATAGACAAACGAGTGCTAAAACAAATAATTATGTGATATTGAATGGAATATAAGAGATGATAATAAGAGGTTGAGATAAATTTAGATAAAAAGTTAGTATACATATAGATAGGTAAATAAGAATGCACCGAGGAAGAGGAAACGATCGAACGAGGGAAGACGAGCGGAAGAAGAGAAATATAAAAAAGGATCTAGAGTCACCGGGCACCGTCTTTCCTGGCCTCATTATTCGTCCAATTAAGAATTTTGCATATTAATCGCGGACCAGCGCTTTGGCGAACGTGACTTGACGGAATCGTTTCAATTAAAACGGCGAATACAACGTCGTTCCCCGCGTTTCTAATGTGTGCACAAAAACCGATGGAGTTACCTCCTTCTCTGTGGATCTTTCAAGCTCTTTTTTCACCGCTGCGGGCATATACACTGCCAATGATAGCGAGAGAGAGAGAGAGAGAGAGAAAAAGAAAAAGAGAATGAATTTCACCGTGATATAAAAACCAGCGCTTGTTCGTTTCCGTTCTCGAAACTCGAATTTTTCGTGTTTCCTTTGGGAGGACGTATCTCCTGGAATATTTAAACTTTTCTATAGAAACTATTCTTTCGACGGTTATCTACGATTACAAATGTATTCTTTGTAATTTTTAATATTTGAATGAGGTTATGGAGACACGTTAAAGGTGTAGTGTTAACGGATGAAGAAGTTCCTGGGGATCTGAGATTGTTTCGAATTTCGTAAATATGAAATGAAGAATTTAATATGAAGATACTCAGAGGGTATAAAAATTTAATGAAATAATTGATTAACGATGAGAAAGGTTTCTTTTCGTTTTTGTTCTTGTTTTGCGATATTTTGGACGCTATATAATCCTTGTTGTTATATGCAATTTAACGTGTAATATAAAGCAAATCTAAATTAATAACAAACAGATACTGTATATTTCTGGGGTCAGATGTATAATTTAAAAGTTTTTTCAACTGTGAACAATTACAATGTTTTTGAAAATACCATTTTCTTATTAGTGCTTGTAAAAAGCGGTTGTTAATTAAAGTTCAGTCAGTAAATAAATTTCTTAAATATCTCAATTTCTACGAAGAATTAATATATTACATTTTGCCATCTGACTATAGACCACTAAAGATTACAATAATTCCAAATTTCAAGAAAATCCGAAATGTTACTCCATTTAAAACATCGAATAATAAATATCAATTCTTCAAATTGATCATAAGTGTCTGAAGAAATTCATGGTCACAGTAACAAAAAGTCCAAAGTGTTCGATTTCATGTGGAATGACCCAAAAAGTAAGATTTCTACCTCATTCGTTAAGGATGAAGAGCTATATCCTCGATATAATATTAAACTCTCCTTAACGTTGTGAATACTGAGTTTTCTCCACGAATGTTCAAGGACCGTTGATCTTGCGGCGCAATCACATCAGAAATAATTAACATTAAAACACACGCCCCCCAGCCCGGTGTTGGCCCCGCGGCCGACCGGCGGAACCACGAAATCCCAGACTTACCCCGGTATGGAGATTGATGAGGGAATGAGGAATTCCGGTTTCCGTCTGGAAAGCAGGCAACATCCGTTCGCCAAGCTGAGCCGCCTTATCCCGGAACATCACGTCCCCGGTGAGAGCGTAACAGGCCAACAGACTTCCCATGAACCGAATGTTCGTCTCGAAAAGAGATATCTCGGAGTTCTGGAAAAAGAAAAATGAAAATTGTTCCGTTAGCACGTTTTACATCTTCGACACAGGGGGCCGATTCGACTGGTCGAGTTCCAGTGATAATAATGATAATAATAATATTTACTTATAAACATATAATATTATTGCATCGGAATAATAATATATGTTAGAAATATTAGTTGGAAGCCTTGATTTTTACTGTCAAGGAATTGTTAATGGTATCTAATGATATTTGTTTCAGCTGTACATGGCCATTAGTTAATGAGATATTTAATGATAAAGTTGTAGCCTATACAGCATGCAAAAATAAACGGAAAATATAGTAAACTTCTCGAATGATGCTTCGTTTTCGAGACGATCGAATCTGAAAATTTACTGGATTCAGTAGAATTTGATTACCGCGTCTGTTCATTACATTCCGTATCTACTTATTGTCAACATAAATACATACGTGTCAGATGAATTTCGAAAATTGAATATCTTGAAATCGAAGCATCGTACGAGAAAATTTTATTCTATATTTTCGACTTATTTAATACAATTATATTGTTTTATACGATGGGGAGCTTCGAGTGTCTGCGTTATCAGGGTCGTACTTGGAGGAATCGTACTCTTAACCGATGATTAATGATTTTTTACATTTGTGTGGTCTATGAAACATTCGATTGTCCATTGTGTCGTTCTATCCCAACGACTAGCTAGGTTTCAGTCACTTATAAATATCACTCACACGGTTTTAATGCGAGTGGTTGCTTGAAAATATTATATATCCTTTTACAATAACATTTTTCAGTTTCACAGAGTTTACACGTGTAATAAAATATTACTGGGGAGCATTAATAAAGCAAGGGGAAACAGAGTTGCACTGTACACCTGAGTCCTGGTGGCAGGGACCGGTTCCCAAGCGCGATGTTGCATGGATTTGTGAAGCAAGTTACTGTGATTGTCCTTTTGTGCGTCGTGCATTTTTGCTTTGTTTGTCGTACTGGTTCCCGTTGCACACGATTTCACGTTTCCCTGGGAAATTCTTTTTTTTTCCATTGAAAAAAGGACAAAGAGAATCGAACAAACAGTTTATTCGTTCAGTTTTTTACTTCAGTGTCTCGTTCTGTTATTAAAAAATTTACATTACACAATAAATATAAAAGGTCAGGTTAAAAAAGAAACATATTCAGAATTTTAGAATTTTGCACCCTGTATTAACATCAAATCACTCTAAGCAGAAATAAATGTTATTCTAGATATGTATTTTTAGTCACTATACAATCAACGAAACACTATATTATAATTGCTGACGAAGGATTGTACACGTCTGTCTACACTACTGTATTGTCAGCACGAATACACGCGTTTCGGATTAATCTTCAAACTCGATTTCCCCGAAAACGGAGCTCCATATGAAACAATTGTGTTTGCAAAAAATTCATATACGTCATGTAATAAACACAAAAATACAACAAAATATTTCTTCGGTAATTTTTACAACCATTAGCTTTCATTACATTCATGTTTATTCCTTTGGGAGCCATGTGGTTCGCAATTATAATACTTTCGCGTATTCTCTACATTTTAGCACTGTTTTCCGCATGAGCTTGGTTAATCTCCATACGAAAAGATGCATTGTCTCGCAGTTAATAGGAAAAAGCACTTTAAATATGCGTGTGTCAAGAGGGACAGTTGCAAAAACGAGACGTCCAGGTCTGACTACACCATTCCCCTCTTTGGTAATCCTTAAAAATCCTCTTGAAGTAAATACTCTGGCACGAATTGAGATGCGTCCGTCGTGGTGCGCATTTCCCGCAGACTGCTTCGCGAACGTGCTTAGCGTAACACCGAGGCGGTGAAAAAAACGTGCTTTTTTTCATCACGTACGTGGAGCGCTGGTTTCTTCATTACGTCCACGGTGAAAATGGCGATGAAAACTTTCTTTCACGTGGATCGATTATTCGTAGTCTTTGTGACAGTTTAACCCTTCTCCTCCCTTATGTCAATTTGACACAGGTTTCTTTGAAGAAATAATGTTACAGACTCCTTTCGATTAGCGTCTGTTTTATTCTACACGATTATTGTCCAGGCGTTACTTTTGAAAAAAACAAATTTACGAGGGTCTGAAGCATTTCTTCCTATAAGATTATTGTCCCGGTGCGGGCCCGATTTTGGGACGATAATCGAGAAAAGTCTGTATTCTGACATGTGTAAATTTAACTGAGACTCAGCGGACTTCCGTTTTAAAGAATTTTCCAATTTAGCTATTTGTCTCAATGCCATTCATTACCAGATCGAACCACAGTACGAACCTGAATCATGCAAACGGAAATGAATTTTTCAGCCATATTCGCTTAAATACAAATTAACAATTTTTTAAAATAATCTACTATATGCCCCCTTTAATAATGTAATCTCTTTTAATAAAAAAAAGTTACATCTATTCATCGAGTTGTTTTTCCTGAATCCATTCTTGAATGAAAACTCCTTCTTTTCACAGTGACAAAGGTATGTACCCCCTTTAATGACAACTGTTGGTTTGAAAGTTCCCAAAACCCCAGACAATCTAAACTGTCGAGTTTATGAAGTAGAAAACATTTACGACGTATTCAAGTAAATCGTAAAGCAGTTGCACGTTGGTTTATCAGCGATTGTCACGACGCCAGGCGCAAGACAATGCGGCTTGATTGCGTTAGGGAACTTTACCCGCCTGCTTGTTGTGGCTGTGTGTCTTTATACGTGTGTGTGTGTATGTGTGTGCGTACATATTCGCGTCACGGCGCATCGTTTCACTGGTAAAGGACGTCGGCATAACGCGGAGAAATGCAACTCCGTTCATGAATAACGTTCCTTCGCGGGACGCGATAAACTTCCGAAATTTAAAGTTCGCGGGGGTAGCTTCTACATCCCGAGTTTGTGCGCCGTGAGGGCAGACGTCTAGGGAGACTGGCGGGAATTCGGTAATTAAGTTTCCGTCGTGTTTAATGAGCTAAGATTATTATTAGTTTATGAAGTTGTTCGAAACGACAAAGTGTCGGTTCGCAACTCGACCGTGTTTGTACTCTCTTCGTTCTGGGCTCGCGCTTAATAGTCGGTGTTCGCGATTCCGGAAGTTGTTACCCGCTCGTCACTAGTCCGAACTCGAAAGTATCGTGGCCATGAATTTCGTTTATTAAATTCAATGAACAGAATTTTAATATGAATCAATCGACTGAAATGGAATAAATTGTATCATTTTTGGGGCTAATGTTCTGTCAGTGTTGAAGTGGTAGTAAGACTTTTCTTACAATGTACAGTAAATCCTCGATGAGTGTTGGAAGGATCGTGGGCATTGACGATTCAATATTTCATAAACTAGTAGGCCAAACGCGGCTGAAACAAATATCATTGGCTTTCGAATTCTAAGCTCTATCACTGTGCTGACCTCTTCGTGCCAGTGTCGAGGAATCTTCGAACACTCATCGAGGATTTACTGTATCTCAAGTGCAAGAAAGAAGAAATAGTAAATATGATAATTAAACGCCAAAACCTATGGTGTGTTAAGCTCTTCGACATACTTATTCTTTTTTAAGAAAACATTTATGAAGTAATGATTGAAAGAATTTTCATATTCAGTGTTGCTTTTAAAGGTACCCTGTATAGAGCTGCAGCCTGTTAAATATAATATACTCTGCGATATTGAGCAATCTACTACGAAATATGTGAATTTAGAATAATTAATAATCTTTTTTCATTGGAAAAAGTTAGCGAGTTTCAGAGTATTCGGTGGTTAAGTGTCTCTTCAATTTCTTGCAGCTATATGGTGGGAGCAAACCACGCCGCGACGTGTCTTTGCATGAAGCAGCTCTTAAGACTTCTCCTACAGGCTACAATCAACGACGCATAGGTGCTAATTAGCAAGAACCTGAGGGTACCATTGGCAACAGATGAAGGGATAATGATACGTCGTACTTACAGCAGGTCGATCCTCTGTGATCTTCGTTTTTCGACGAGCAAACTGCTACTAATTGACATTTATGACATCACGCTACGATGAAAGCTTCGAAACGCTGTTTGTCAAGGCGAGCGTACACTGAATCGACGCCCAAAACTCATATTCATTGTTGAGTGTTTATATTCATAGACTCGTCTATTTGTATATCAATTTTAGAAGTAAATTTTAACCAATAATTTTCAATTCAGACGATTAACAAAGACCCTTACTTTTGTCAAATAATATTTAGTAACAGTGCAATTTATACAATTTTTTTGTATACCGATTGAGGGAATTTTTCATCTTTACAGTTGTTGTTAAGAGCCTTATCTTCATGTATTCGTATAGAAAATCTTAGCATCAATTTGTATATTATATGAATATTAGAAGTCAACAATATTTATCAAAATTTCCATTTATGTTATTAAATACATGTTCAACCCCTTAAGTGGGGAGAGCGGATCTATCCGCTTTGACATATACTTTCCTGAACAATTTCACGTCACAAAAATGGCCGTCGTGGTAGTTTTAATAACACTACAAGAAAGAAAAAAATACTCATCTTGTTTATAATTAAGTTTAAAAATTGGAATTTTGGCCAGCTCTTTGAGTCAAATACTCCACAGTGGCGGCGTTCGAAAATTCTTTCCCGCTTAAGGGGTTAAAAGTATACAAAATAAGAAACAAGTATGCATCATTAATATTACGAATAGATCAATAAATCTTAACAAAACAAGCGTGAAACTTGATGGGTCCAGAATTTTAATCATTACATAGTTACTTCAGACTCTCTCTCTCTCTGCTCATGTCTCGGAGGCATTGAAGTCTTCGCAAAACCTATCCTCAAAACGTATCGATTTCAGCGTTACATTCATCCCTTCGAAACAAATGGCATAGTTTCATCGCTTCGATGATTCCGTGGACGTCTAAGAAAAAGAAAACTTTTAACAAGCGTGTCACGTTCCATCGTTTTTTTTTTTCTTTTTCGAAATGGGAAATGTTAACGAGAGATCGAACGTATGAGAATCACTGAGCTTCTCGTCGTATCGGTACA